CCAGCCAAAAGCTTGATAGGGAGGTAAAGGAAAGGGAACCTAACTAGGGATGGAAGGAGAGAGAGAACGAAGAGAGATTTATTGTTTCACATATTTTGCATTCATGGGTTGCTTCTTGTATGGACCCTGACCAGAGAATTAAACCAGCAACCTTTCCCTGTGTGCTCAGTGGTTAATGAATGGGTCCTTGCACTGCAGGTCGAGGGTTTGATTCGCCCTCAAGGCCATTCACAGACCCTGGTTAGGGCTTGTGCAGGAGGCAAGCAATTGATGTATCTCTCTCACATCAATGTTTTCGCTCTCTCTTTCCTTTCCCTCCCTCCCTTCCATGCTTTCTTGTGTGAGGGTTTTTTTATTTTATTTTTTTAAATATATATTTTATTGATTTTTTACATAGAGGAAGGGAGAAGGATAGAGAGCTAGAAACATCAATGAGAGAGAAACATTGACCAGCTGCCTCCTGCACACCCCCTACTGGGGATGTGCCTGCAACCAATGTACATGCCCTTGACCGGAATCGAACCCGGGACCTCTCAGTTCGCAGGCCGATGCTCTATCCACTGAGCCAAACCGGTTTCGGCTTGTGTGAGGATTAATAAAGATAAACAAAACAAAAAACACCCCTCAACCTTCGCATATCAGAACAACACTCTAACTTGAACTACTTCACTAATGCAAAAATAGCATGTTAAGTGAAAGAAGCCAGACCCAACGGACCACATATTATATGATTACATTTAAAATGTCCAGAAAGGGCAAACTATAGAGACAGAACATGGATTATCGGTTGGCTAGGGCTAGAGGTATAAGTTGAATTAATTGTAAGTGGGCATGACAGATCTTACTGGGGTAGTAAAAATGTTTAGGACCAGATGGTAGCTCCGTTGGTTGGAGCGTTGTCCCAGTACTACAAGGTTGCAGTTTGATCCTCAGTCAGGACATATACTAGAAACAGCCAAAGAATACATAAATGAGTGGAGCAATAAATCCATGTCTCTCTCTCCAAATATTAATTAAAAAGTTTTTTAATGTTCTAAAACTGATTTATGGTGATGAGTACATAATTGAACAAATTTTCTAAAAGTCACTCTATTACACACTGGAAACAGGCCAATTTTAACATTTGTAAAGTATACTTCAATAAAGTAAGAAAATGTCTAAAAGAATAAAATAAAAGAGAAGAGAGACATAATAATGCTCTACTCACTATGTTCTTTTATAGTCTCCTTCCCAACACTTAGTTCTTTCAGGTTCTTCAACCATTTTTTCTTAAATGTATTATATTATTCAACATCTTACAAGAATCATTACATTGTGAATTTCCTAAAGATATTTGTCACCAAATACTTACAGTTAAATTTGAAAAGTAAAGAGTGGGAAGTAAAACAGAGAGAGAGAGAGAGAGAGAGAAGTAAAACAAAGAGAGAGAGAGAGAGAGAGAGAGAGAGAGAGAGAGCGAGCGCGCGCGCGAGAGCTGACTAAAACCACTGTCATTCCCTTGGGAGGGAGAAGTCAAAGTGACATTATAATGAAGAATATGGTGTTGACAAGGACATAAAGAAGTTAGAAACTTCATGCATGCTGGTACAAATGTAAAATGGTGCAGCCAATTTGGAAAAACAGTTTGGCATTACCATAAGATATTAAACATAATTTGGCCTGCGAGGGTTGGTAGTTGAGTGCTGACCTATGAGCCAAGAGGTCCTGTTTCCATTCCCAGTCAGGGCACATCCTGGATTTGAGTCTCCATCCCCAGCAGGGGGCGTGCAGGAGGCAGTCAATGGATAATTCTCATTATTGATGATTGTTTCTCTCCCTCTCTGAGATCCATAAAAATATATATTTTTAAAAAGATGTTAAATATAGCCGAGACTGGTTTGGCTCAATGGACAGAGCGTTGGCTTGGGGACTGAGGGGTCCCGGGTTCGATTCCAGTCAAGGGCATGTACCTTGGTTGTGGGCATATCCCCGGTAGGGGTTGTGCAAGAGGCAGCTGATCGATGACTCTCTCTCATCGATGTTTCTAGCTCTCTATCTCTCTCCCTTCTTCTCTGTACAAAATCAATAAAATATATATTTTTAAAAAAGATGTTAAATATAGAGCAGTCATATTACTTAGCAATTCTACTCATACCCAAGAGAATTAAAAACATATACATATTCCACACAAAAACTTACACATGAATGTTAATAGTATCATGAATTGGAACACTCATGCAATGAAATATTATTCAGCGATAAATAGATATGCAGAACTTACATATCATACAACATGGACGAAACTGTACAACACTGAAGTAAATAAAAGAAGACATACACAGAAAGCTACAGCATTGTATGATTCCACTTATATGTCTAGAATAGGAAAAAACCATTGTGATAAAAAATACACTAGCAGTTGCCAGAGGCTAAAGAGAATGGGGAGTTACAACTAATGCATGTGTAGTTTCTTTGCGGTGGGAAGAGAATGAAATTGATCTGGTATTAATGGTGATGACTGCATAACTGTGAATATACCAAAAACTACTGAATTGTACACTTTAAATGAATGACTTATGTGATATGTGAATTATAACTCAATAATGCTGTTAAAAAACTAAGGTCAGACTTTCTCTGATAATCATAAGGTCATGCTTTCATCATCCAGAAAAGGAATATTTATTTATATGGTGGCATTGATGCAAATTATCAATATTTATGGACTCATGTTGATGACAAAGTAATCAAAGTCTCTCTGGAAAAAAAATTATTTACCTTCAAAGCATGCTATGAGAACAATAATGAAGGATTTTTCAAACTGCTAAGGAATAAGAATCCAAAATAAAAAGGTTTTCATGCCTTACCTTTCTAAAGTCTTGCTTCCCATATAAGATAAATTTCTTTTTCTAGGACATTATATAATCTTTCAAAGTTGTCAGAAGCATATTAAATTTTCCATTAAGCCAGTTAAAATTTCACAATCTCACTTCAGAAATACTTTATATTCCAAAGCTAATCCTATCTAATAAAGAGGTAATATGCAAATCACTTCATATTGCTACATCCATCACTCCAACACACAAAATAGCCACTCCCATGTAGTCAAAGATGGCAATTGTGAGAGACCAGCTCTGCAGGAGAGGGCAGTTAGGGATGACCAGGCCAGCTGGGGAGGGCAATTGGGGGTGACCAGGCTTGCAGGGGAGGGAAATTGGGGTGACCAAGCTGGCCAGGGAGTGAAGTTAGGGGGTGACTGTGCCATCAGGGGAGGGCAGTTGTGGTGAACAGGCTGGCAAGGTTGGACAGTTAGGGGTGATCACGCTGGCAGGCAGAAGTGGGTAGGGAAATCAGGCAGGCAGGTAGGTGAGGGGTTGGGAGCCAGCAGTTCTGGATTGTGAGAGGGATGTCCAACTGCCCGTTTAGGTCCAATCCTACCAGGCAGTTGGACTTCCCTCAAGGGGTTCCAGGTTAGAGAGGGTGCAGGCTGGGCTGAGGGATGCCTTCCCCCACCCCCAATGCACGAATTTAATGCACCAGGCCCCTAGTTGATTCATATTTAACAAGCTGATGCAGGGCCCCAGTTGCCATAAACTCTGATACCAAGTCTTTCAATGGGGATTTTTATTAAAAGCATATAATCCAAGTTTGTAACATTTCAAGAACATACCAGGCTAGGTGTCAGAACACACCAGACTAAGCGTCACACATATCTCTGATGAGTCAATCTCCCAACCCTGTGTTTTCATAGTAAGAAAAGTTATTTCCTCGATGATTCCAACTCTTTCAACATGGGTTGGTACCAGGACTGATGCAGGGGCTGGATTCATGCTACCTCTAACTGAACTATGTGACAGGGCCAAGACCAGTGGAAGGACAGATTCTTTTAATCCTTTGTCAGCCAGTGTTAACAGAAAAAAAAAAAAAAAAAGGCGATGGATGGATGGAAGGATGGATTGGCTACATCCATCCTACACTTGTTCTATGCAATATACACGGTCCTACATATGGAGGCCAAGAAGGAAGAAAAGCCAGTCTTCTATCATATTTGAGTTTCCTCCTTTATTACTTTCATTATTACATTGGCTACCCTGTTTAATTCTATCCATGCAAGAGGCTATGCTGAGCAGGTAATCCAACTTTCGTTCCTACTGTATGATGAATGCAACTGGAAGGGAGACTTCATCACAGAAAAAAAAAAAAAAGAAAAGAAAAAAAAGAGCCGAGATCGTGACGCAGCCCAGTCATTCCCAGGGAGTTGGGACGCCCAAGCTGGAATCAGGATTTCCACTTGGATGGTTCCTGGGGGCGCAAGCTAGAAAAGCTCAGCCAGAAGGCCAGGCGCTCTGCACGGACGGAACCTCAAGTCCCAGAATCCCCCGGGAACTCCAAATCCCAGAATCCCCGCTCGGGAACTTTACCGGGATTCCAAGTCGGCTGTCCACGGACCCTACCAAGTTAGAAATCGGGGGGAGACGCCGCAGCAGTTCCCCTCTACCGTTCTCCCTCTCGGGAGGAGTCTTTTTATAGAACTCCAGTTTACCCAAACCTTTCTTATTCTCTCACCCGGATTCCACGGAAGACCTTCTCCCGGTAGGTGATGGGGTGGTTAGCGCCTCCCATTCCTCTCTCCCCCCCCTTTTCCTGGCCTCCTCCGTCGGAATGGTTCAGCCGGGCGTCAAGGCTCCCGGAGTCGGCTCGGCGGTGGCGCCCTCCCGCCCTCCCTCCCCGCCCCGCGGAATGTGGGCTTCGGGAGCCGGCGAGGTGGGAGGGGCCCGGGCGGGGAGGCGTGCTGGGTCCTCCTCGCCGAGGTAGAGGCGGTGGCGGCCGCGGGCGGTGGGAGGAGCCGCGTGGTTCCGGCTGCCCGGGCGCGGCGGCCCCTGGGTCCGCGCCGCGGGGCGGGAGAGCAGGTAGAGCAGCGGAGGCACCGCCGCGGCTCCGGGGACGGCTCCGGCGGCGGAGTCCCCCCTCGGCGCGCCCCCGGCACCCTCGGCCTCCGGCGTTGAGGCGGGGGGAGGAAGGAGATGCCGACCCAGAGGGACAGCACTACCATGGCTCACCCGATCGCGGGCGGCGGCTTCGGGGACCATTCTCACCAGGTCCGGGTGAAAGCCTACTACCGCGGGTGAGTGCCCCGGGAGAGAGGCGGGGAGGGCGGGCGGGGAAAGGCCGGCTCCGGGGCTGGAGCTGGTGTGTGTGTGTGTGGCGGACGGGACGTGTGGTGGCAGGTTGGTCTGGGAGGGCGGCTCTGGGGGCTCGGGATGGGTGGTCGGGGGAGGAGCATGGCATGAGGCGCTGGGGTGGGGAGCGCCCTCTAAGTGTGTGTGTGTGTGTGGGGGGGGGGGGGGGGGACAGGGCGCCTGGGAGTCGCGAGGCTGAGGGTCCGAGGGAGGAGGAGCCTGGGGATCGAGTAGGTCCACCTGATGGGCTGGGTGGCCTCGCCTGATGAGACATGGACACGGGCTTAGAGGTCATTAAGTCTGGACGTGTTCTTCGGAGTTGACTCCGAGGGATGATGCCTCCGTGAACTAAGTTTGCCCTGGGCTGGAAAGATGGGGGCTCCCGTCGTGCTGGCGGCCCTTTGGATGTCCAGCAGGCCTGAAAGCCTCTGGTTCTCTTAAGTCAGGTTTCTTTCATTGCCTGCAAGAGTTCACCAAGTGTGCTCTAGTGTCTGGACTGTGGTCCGGCTGCCAGGAAATGAGACATAACAGTTGTTATTGGAGAGTATAGAGTGAATGCGTTTTTTTTAGGGATGTGCATCAGGCATTTATATCTCCCAAGATTAGAGTGTGCATGCGTAAAGTTCTGGGAAAGCTTCTCTGTAAAGGTGGTTGTTGCCTCACGGGTCTTCCCCTAGGGTGAGAGATAATGCAAGGTGAGAAGAGGAGGAGGAGGCGGCTAAGGCACAGCTGGAAAAATCTGTGATCTTTATTCATGTTATTATCTAAGTTATAATTAACCGTGGTTGCCAGAAATAACCCAGTCCTGAGATCGTGGTATTAAATCATATTCCGTAATCAGTGACCTGAAGTGTCCCCCATTCCCTTGAATTCAGTTGGTGGTTTTTAAATTTCTTTGCTATAATTATATTTAGGAGGATTCGAAAGGTGAAATGTTAGTGTGAGAACAAAGGTTTGAAACGAAGGGTTAAACAGAAAACCCAACCATCTTGGCATGTCTGACTGCTTGTCCAGGCAGAAATAAATTGCTTTAAAAAAAACCCAACAAACCTCAGGCACTGGGAGGTTGAAGCTGCAATGCATACTTGTACATTCCTGAAAGGATCAGTGGAGATAGCAAACTTTCAAAGCAAAACTCTCGCTTTGATTTCAAAGAAAATATAAAACCCCCTAAATGGATGTGAGGACATGCTGGCTTATTTTGTTTGCTGCCATGAAGCCTCTGATCTGTGTGTATCAGCTTGACTGTATTCAGAAGTTGTTCATAGGTATTTTGGACAATATCAGTGTTTTTACTTAAATTGACACAAGGAGGTCTTTTGTTTGTTAATTTCCCCTAATATATTTTTCCCATTGATTTTTAGAGAGAGTGAAAGGGTGGGGAGGAGGAAGAGAGAGAGACATTAATGTGAGACACATTGATTGGTTGCCTCTCCAATGCACCCCAACTGGGATCAGGGATGGAGCCTATACCCCATGTACCTGCCCTTGACCATGAATTGAACCCACAACCCTTCCGTGCGGGACTGATGCTCTCTAACCACTGGGAACACCAGCCAGGGTGATCAAGGAGATTTTAATTTTAAAACAATGCCAAGAATGGTGTGTAGGTTTTTTTTTGTTTTTGTTTTTTTAAATGGTTTGTAGTTACCACAGTTAACTTGAGGATGGTCAGCTATGAATTTTGCATTATGGGGAAAAAAAGCTTTGCTTCTTTTATCTTACCTTTAATAGATATTTCACAAAGTGTGCTCCATTTTATAAAGACTACAGGTCATGAGCTGTTAGATTCAGAGAATGAAATATAGTACTTGGTGTTGTTTTTTTAAAAGGTATCTGATTATTGGTAGTTTAAAAGGTAGATTAAAAAATGCGAATATACACACTTGGTAGGAGAGTGCAAATTGTCCAGATGTAAAATAAAGTGTTCCCCATCTCACCTTCCCAACCTCCAGAGGTAGCCACTGTTGACATTTGATTTCTGGGTCTTCTGGAGGTTGCCTTTCTTATTTTAAAAGTTATAGCTCTATTTTGTGATTTATCAACATTAGGTAATATCTTTTGATACTCTGAAAGATGAGAAATTGGATGCATACTACCTTTTGCTTTTTCTCCTTCTGGTTCCTCTCATTTTTTATTGTTAGTCTATTGTTTTTAGTTTTCTGATTTACCTTTATGACTTTAAATATGTAAATTCTTAACTTATTAAATAGGGATAGTTTTCAATTATTCCAACTATGGGAGATGAAGAAACTGGTGCTTTATTTCCATTTTTATTAGCTTGACAAATGTACATAGGCCTAATTAGTAAATTTAAATCATTGTAAGCTTCTCCTTTGGAAAGAAATCAAAGTATGCTATACTTTAGGAATGCATTATCATATTTTCTTGGCTCATTACCCTTTTAACGCTCGACTAAAATTTCTCCAAGACATTCAAGCTAACATTTTCTTTGTTTTATTTTATACCTATGAATTTTTACTAAGGAATGAAAGAATCTCTTGCCCTTTAGAGCCTTTAATTCAATGAAAGCTTTCTATTAGTGCCTTCATTTCAAGCCTCATTTAAAGACAACATCAGCACTCTAAATTGTACCAATTTCTCCCCTCTGAAATTAGATCTGTTAAGATTTTATGTTTTTAACAATAGTCTAAATTGATGGTTATGATATGTAAATGTTCAGGTGACTAAAATGAGTCACCAATGAGGATAGTTAATAAACAGGTTGGCTAACTAGAACACCTACCTGATTTAAAAATAAAAATCCTTTTTGTCAAGAAATGTAAGGAAAAAAGAGTATTTTTATTTCAGATTTTCTGAATAGCTATTATCCAAGAGCTTTCCCCTTATTTCCTTCAAACAATATTTCTATCCAGTACCTGTTGAGTCTCGGAATAGCAGCATTTTGTAGTGATTAATGGCCCTCTTTTTTCAAAGATGTGTATAGTGTTATCATTCAGTTAAATTTCTTTTAAATACAAATGTGATGTCTCCTAGCTCTAACAGACATTTAATTAGATTTTTTTCTAGTTTTTAAGCAAGAGAGTAATAGCACTGAGACCCTGATCTTATTGGAGCCCACCTAAGAGCGCCTGTGAACCCCTCTTTCCTGGCCTCGGTGGCTTGTCAGTGAGTGGCCTTCCTTCAATCATTACCCGAGTGGTATTAGTTCGGAGGAAGAGAAACAGGTTTTGTAGGTTAGTGATAGATTGCCATGGGATGTGATTTATCCTTATATGAAATCATTTGTTATTATGGGATCAAATTTAACAAGGAAATGTCTGGGCTACTCGTTTCTTTACATTGTAAGTGTTTAGGACATTTTGTAAAAAGTGCTTTTTAAAACTGCTGCTGTTGAGCAGTTACAACAATCCAGAGGATTCTTTGTGCGCACATCTACAGATAAGATTGTTAACTCCTTGCATATTTGGAATGTATAGCTGGTTCCATGAAGAAATCTGCGGGATTTTTTTTTACTGTTAACAAGTCTTAACAAGACTTGTTTTTTGAAGAACTGCAACATAATTTTAGTGATAGACTTTAGTAATGATTCTAAGGAAATAAAAATAGTATATGGAGTTGAAAATTGGGGGAATGTTAGATGTTGATCCTAGAGCTTCTGCTTGACACCTAACCATCCAGCAATTGATCCATAGCTTTACTGGGGAGAGAGAAAGGACATGGTGGCCTGGTGCCAAAGACTAAAACCAAAACAACCCTCTCAGAAATTTGAATTAGATGATATGGCGATAAGTTGCTTGTTAGCAGTGAGGACTAAAGCTGAAGAGTGGAGGGAGAGGCTGGTGAGCCCAGGCTTGACCAGGTGCAAGATCTAATGAAACAGGAGAAAGAAACAGTTCTCTATAGAAAATTCTCCCTGCCAGGCCGATGTGGTTCAGTAATTGAGCATTCACCTATGAATAAGGTCATGGTTCGATTCCCAGTCAAGGCACATGCCGGGGTTTCAGGCTAAATCCCTAGTAGGAGTGTGCAGGAGGCAGCTGTTCAAAGTTTCTCTCTCATCGTTGATGCTTTTATCTCTCTCTCTCTCTCTCCCTTCTCTTCCTCTCTGAAATCAATAAAAACATAGATATTAAAAAAAAAAATTCCCTACAAGTCCAAGATATCTTTCTAATACAACACCCAAACCTCCTTTTAAGGTTTTTTTTTTTTAATAAATATATTTTATTGATTTTTTTGCTCCCCTCCCTCCCTCCCTCCCTCCCTCCCATACATACCCTCCCTCCCTCCCATACATACCCTCCCTCCCCAGAGTTTTATGTCCATTGGTTGTACTTATATGCATGTATACAAGTCCTTCGGTTGATCTATTATCTCCCCCAGATCTCCCTCCCCTCCCCACTGTAATTTGAAAGTCTGCTTGTTGCTTTACTGTCTCTATATCTATCTTTTGGTTCATCAGTTTGCAATGTTCTTTATTATCCATAAATGAGTGAGGTCATGTGGTGTTTCTCTTTCATTGATTGGCTTATTTCACTCAGCATGATGCTCTCCAATTCCATCCAGGTTGCTGCAAATGATGAGAATTCTTTCTTTTTTATGGCAGCATAGTATTCCATTGTGTAGATGTACCTTAGTTTTTTGATCCAATCATCTGCTAATGGGCACCTAGGCTGTTTCCAAATTCTGGCTATTGTAGATTGTGCTGCTATGAACATAGGGGTGCATATGTCCTTTCTGATTGGTGTTTCTAGTTTCTTGGGATATATTCCTAGGAGTGGGATTACTGGGTCAAATGGGAGTTCCATTTTCAGTTTTTTGAAGAGACTCCACACTGTTCTCCACAGTGGTTGCACCAGTCTGCATTCCCACCAGCAGTGCACGAGGGTTACTTTTTCTCTGCAACCTTGCCAACACTTGTCGTTTGTTGATTTGTTGATGTTGGCCATTCTGACAGGTGTGAGATGGTACCGCATTGTTGTTT